GTTGGGGGGGTGAGGAGACTGCCCCACCCTCATATTCTGCAGGGTAAAAGAAGACAGCTGAGTGAGAGACCCCAGTAGGGGAGTGTGAAGGAGAAGGGGCCATTTTCCATCCACTAGCAAAAAAGAGAGAAGAAAGACTGAGCAAGGGCTTTAAATTAAATCTCCAGAGGGAACTTGTTGGTGTCCAAGCTAGCTAGACTGGGCAAAGGAGACACCTTACCCTGAGCTAAGAGTCAGGAGGAGAGAGAAAAAAAACCTAGCCCACTGGCTTTTTTTTCAGTCCTGTTGAAACAGGTTCCTTCTCCCCAGGGCCTTGCTACTTGCCTTCCCTTCTCATCTAGTTTGCCTTATGTCCCTCTCTTCCTCTTCTGTGTTCAGTGCCTTTAAAGACCACTTCAGCCATCTGCCACCACATTTATTCTTTGTAGCCCTTATCAGCACCAGGAGGATCAGGAAGGGTTATCCTATTTAAATTTGTCACCTCTGGGGCAATTCCTTGGGGCAGGGATGTTGTCTTATTTGTCATTGTGCCAAGACAGGGCCCAGCTATAGTAATTTCTGACTGACTATGCCCAGAAGAAAAGCTGTGGCTTACCATGTTGGTACTGGCTTCTGTCAATACACCTTCCTCTGAGAGGGATCTTCTACTTGACCTGTCCTGGAGGGGCTTCAGAGGACTGGGCCTCAAACTGGCAACACTGACACTTCTACTCATTTTGGGGGCGTGGAGGGGAGGAGGCTGCTCAGATGTAGCTTGGTGTGCCTGAGACAGGTTCAGCTCTTCCGAGATGCTACGAAACATCTTTGGCTCTAGAAACAGAAATGGGAGGGTGATAGGTGATCAGAGGTGTGATCCTGCCTGGGTCTTCAAGGAGGTCAGAGGAAGGCTGTGCGAAATGACATGAGACCCAGAAGGCTTGGAACTCGGAGGGGGAGGCAATGGAATGGGGTTACCATCACTACAGGGATGGGGGATGAAGGGTAGGTAGATCCAAAGGAAATAAGAGAGGGGGTCAGCAGATGCTAAGAGGAAAGGGGTTCTCTCAATAATTCCCCAAAGCTAGGGAGATAGGAAAGTGATAGGGGAGGGCTTAGGGCTTACTCACCGGGAGTCCAGAAAAATTGGTTGGAGGTAATAACCCTGGGAAGGGATGGATTCTTCTGTCACGTAGGCAGCTGGGACAAAGACAGGTGGAGAGGTAGAGTGTGCTCCCAGGTACCTTGCCAACCACCAGTCTCAACTGGTCTTTTGGAGCAGTAGGAACCTGTCACCTTCAGCCAGAGACACCTGCTGGCCATCTGCTGTAGTATAAGAAAAGGCATAGATGGGATAGAGCTGGGATCCCCGAGAAGGGTTTTGGGGCCCTATCCCTGGACTTCTCCAGATACTTGGCCAACAATGACTGGATAACATTGTGGTTGGCACTGTCACCTGTGGGAAAAAGAGGAGTTGGGGATGCAGAAAGAAATAAGACTGGCTGGTTTCAGGCAGAGGGACATGGTTCTCTTTTTTTTTTTTTTTAAGACAGGGTCTCAGTATGTAGTTCAGACTGCCCTGGAACTCATTGTATAGTACAGGCTGGTCTAGAACTTGCAGAGATCCTCCTGTCTCAGCCTCCCAAGTGCTGGGATTACAGGTGTGCACCACCACGCCAGCTAAGAGGGACATGGTTCTAAGAACAGTGTGTAGAGGGAAGGTGAGGACAGGTTAAGAAGGAGTAAAGCAGAGGGCTTGAATGGGAGTCTGTGAAGTTTGGAGTCTGAGAACTTTTGGGTGATGTATCTGGTGAGGAAGCATATAAATAATGTGAGAGAGGATGTGGTCAGCAGGGCTATGTGGCTGGCAAGGCAGGAAATCAGAAGTGATGGCCTAGCTTGGTAATTTTCTTCCAAGTACCTTGTAGGGGCCATCTGAAGATCCAGGGGCAAGAGGAGTTGGTCCTGGGTGCTGGCAGGAATCTAGAGCTAGAGACAAGAAAGAGATAAAGAGGAAGAATCAGATTCAAGCAGAAACTTGGGGAAGAAAAGTCACAAGAAATAATGACCCCAGAAAAAGTCTGTGATCTTTTATTAAATTTGCCCAGGCATTAATGTTTCCATTACTGATCACCTTAGACCTAAAGCTGCATGCTTCCTGTGTAGACAGATACAGAGATGGAGAAAGAGAGAGCCAGAGAAACAGTAATAACAAATGAGAAAGAAAGAGAATAGTGGCTGGGAAAAATAGAGAGGGATTCAGAATTGAAATATCACCCACATCCCACTCTAGAACAGTGTTTTGGTACCTGAGAACTTTGATGGATCTTCTATGCATCAGCCTCTTTGATGGAGGACCCAGCTTTAGTGTATGGGTTCAATTATACACACATTCAACAAGGATTGATTGGGCACCTTGAGCAGGGAACAGTTAAGCACTAGAGTTGAAAGAGAAGGGAATGAACCCTTTTGTTCCTTAAGGAGAGGCTGACCTTAACAGAGGACACAATAAACAATTAGTTACAGTGGGTTACAGATTGTGGACAAGTGTTAAAAGGCCATGACAGGCTCCTGGGAAGATGGCAGACTGGTGAACAGAAGAGAAACAGCCTCTCTGAGATTTGGTGTCAGACACTGGGATATAGCAATGTGAGGAAGCAAAGGAGGGAAGTGGTTTCCCAGAACCCAGCAAGAACTGAAGTACATGGAGAGATCAAAGAGAGAGACCTCAATGCATTAGAAGGAGGTGGCAAGCAGCAATGTCTTCCAGAGCCCTGACTCACTTCACAGGAGAAGTGGGTTGAACCTGCAGAAACATAGTGAATGACTACTGGCAACCCCAGAGGCCTCCACAGAGAAATGCACCAGTGGAACAGAGCAGTGGACACAGCAGACTGCAGTGGCTGGTGAGTTATTTGGGTTCAGACATCCTCCAGAAGAGGGTGATTGGCCAGTAGCCATCTTGGAGAGAGGCCAACTGAACTCTGAACTCAGAGCAGCTGTGGGTTGCCTCTATCTAATGGCTTCCAGTGTCAGGATGAGGTGGAACCAAGTTCAAGTTAGCAGGGTGTCAAGGAGCTGAGTTCAACCATGCAGGAGGTACACTGAGCACTGTAGGCTGAACAAATTGGGTTCCAGCCTCACAGCCAAAAATCAGCCTGAATTTCAGTGGATATATAGGTGTAGCCTTGCTGGGGTTATTTGCTACCCCACCATAAATCTATGGCTAGCTTGCTGTGTTGATCAACATGGATCTGGACTCTGTCTGGCCACTCTGTTTACCAGTGACAGTAGTCATGCCCTGAGGTGAACTTTTTTCTTCTTTTCTTGCTTTTGGTTTTGTTTTCTTTTTTCTTTGTTTTGTTTTGTTTTTTGGTACCAGGGATTGAACTTGGGTCCTTGAGCTTGCAAAACAGGCAGTGGAACCACTGAGCTAAATCCCTGGCCCTCTTTTTTCTTGATTGTCCTTGTTTTTACATGAATGTGAACATTGTTTCAAGTTTTCTCGTTGTTGTTCTACTCTTGTTTTTATTCCTTCTCTCTTTCCCTCTTTACCAGTTTCCCAAAATTTG